GAATTCCCACTTTCCACCTGTAAGCTGAACCTGTAACCTGTAACCTGACCCTTCCAGGCCACCGACCGTCCGTGTCTGCCTGTCTGCTGTCCGTCTACTCCCCCCCTCGCCCCCCCCACCCACCCACTGGCGCACCGCTGCACGTATTGATATCGATTGCGCCGACGGCCGCAGCGTTGTGGTCACATTGATCCGACCCAGACCGGCGTGTTCCAAATGGACACAGGAGTACAGCACACAGACAGAAATGTGGTGTGTGATTCTGCGTAGGGGAATAGTAGCCCATGGTTGAGCATAAGGATTAGTCCACTGTTCTGTACTAGTGTCACGATTGTGGAGCACTCGTGAAGCGATGTGAAATGTCTGATATCAAGCCCATCAATTGTAGAGGCTGATATATCGAAAGCACCACCGGAACCCTTTTTTACTTTGCCTGTCAATGGGCACTGCCTGTTGGCGATATTGTGAAATAAGCAAAGAAACAGGACAACCGCCTGGTTCCTGACGATGCCAGTTTTCAGACATCAATACCCTCCGGTGGCATCCGAGTCAGTCAGTAACAGCTAGCCCGTCTCCTGTTTCCAAGCACAGCCCCGCCATCAGTGATAGACGGACTGACGAAACTGAGCTCGCCGGAAGTCTCAGTAGCCAGTGACATGGCTGTCGGTCGGTCGTGATTGTTATCTGTCGTCTGAGCTGGGCTGTGGGGGGTCGGAAGGGACAGTCTATAGCTGCAGACAAGTGGTTGGGAGCTTGTTGTCTGAATCGTGATCTGCATCTGGATCAGGGCTGTTTGGAACTGAGAACAAGTGGCCGGGGTTGTATTGTCTGGGTCGCTCGGTGTCTGGATCTGATAATGTCTGGAGCTGCATACAATTATCTGCAGCAATGTTGTCTGAATCTCGGACTGTCTGGAGTTCACGCTGTCTAAAGATGTAAACAAGTTTTTGGTGCCACGTTCGAGGGATCTCATTTCTTTTGGTTAGGCCCAGTCGGCTGGTGCTAGACGGTATGTAGAGCTTAGGGTGGTGAAGATGGTCAAAATCAAAACGTGGAAATGGTGAACTGAAATAAAGACTAGAACGTGCTTAGATATTTCGTCATTGCCCTGGTTTCTTCCCATCTTACATTTACCAAAACAATCTTCATCTGCGACTGGCTAGAAATTAATAAATAAAAAGCGAAACCATGACGACTCTCTCGTCAACAGACTCCGCAATAAATCATTCTGAATGGCTTCTACAAATGCATTCAGCGATTATCTTGTTTGCGCGGCTCAAATCAATGACGGCGCGGGACGGCCAGCCTTCAGTCAATCCTACTTTGTACGGCTTCAGACTTCCACAGAGCGCGGCTGCTGTGAGCCAACAGACGCCTTGTGGGGAAGCGCCCGGGGCAGCCATGGGGAGGGAGGGGGGGGGGCGAGGGGGTACTGTTTGTTCACCGATCCGTTCGCGTTACCCGGGCGAGCCAATATTGACCAATCACAGGCCAGGGTGATGAACATTAATAGCACGCGCTGACTTTCCGGCCGTGGTGTAAAAAGACGGCAGGATCTGATTCTGAGGAGAGAAAATTGTAATAAATGTACGGGGATTTATGGGGAGAGAAACAAGAATGCAAGAGCGATCGTCAGAGAATTTGTTTGGTAAACTCAGTCGTTCTTCTAAATGACTTTCGGAAACAAATATTGATATAAGTTCCAATGACCAGTTCATTCCAAAGCTATTGGGCAAAGATGATGCCTGATGTGATTTGTCAACGAACATACTAACCGCTGGAATTATTTGCATAATATATTTCACGAAAACTCCAATGCGAAAGAAACGATTGGGATCTAGATGAGAGATGCAGTCTAAAAACTTTGCCAATCTATCACCATTCTAATGTTTTCAAGAGCCCATTTACCAGGCATGCGGACAGCGCAGAGATTTCAATTGATAAGTTCAAATGCGGCTAGGATGATGAATTGACATGATACTCAGTTTCACATCTTGTTTATGTAGGGACATAATCCTAATATAAAGCTATCTGTCAAGTAAAGTGTCTAGATTCATCATTCAAGTTTCATGGACTTACACCATAGGTAATGATACACCTGTTGCTACCGGATAAGTTATTAAATTACATATATAACTACTTTTCATGTCTAGCCACATCTCACATTATACTTCTCCGGACAAAGTCAACCCTTAGTCTGAGTGCAAAGTCTGCACTGTGTCCTCATGAAATTAGCGTCTTTGAAAGCCGTCGTTTCAAGTTTCCGCGAATTCTTCTGCTGTGAACTCTCCCTGTTGGATGAGATTGACTTTGAATGGCGGGAAACTTGGTTCTCAGTCTCCCTGCCGATGAGCGTTCGGTGAAACTTATTCAGAAGAGAAATACTTTCGATTAACTCTCTTTGACCGGGCTTTGAGTGGGTACTGGGTAAATTACGGGGAATTTAGGATTTAATGAATGTTTGTTTGAAATCTGTTCTGCTTAAATGCAATTCATGGTGAATTGTCATGCTTCCTTGCATACTTCCGTTTTGCCGCTGAGCCTGTCCCATGGACTGCCACCTTCAACCACCCCGCCATTTTTAATCAATCAGACCACCCCCATCCCGACACACACACCTCCAGACTTCCCAGACCCATCATCATCACATATCCCATCCTCACAGACTACCCTCCAGTCCCGTCACCAACAACCACCGCCAGACTGCCACCCGTCACACATCACCCAGAGTTCCCAGAGCCATCACCGAACAAACCCAACCTTCCCACCTTAAACCCATGTCAGATCATCAGCCAGACCCACCAACAGACCCACCAGACCCATCAGACCAACTACGAGACCACCAGACCAGACCAACCAAACAACCCCAACCCTCCTACCAAACCCATGTCAGATTATCAGTCAGGCAACGACCTCCTAAACCTCTCAAACCCACTGGATCACACCTACCCTCCCACAAAACCCACCAGATCATCAGCCAGACCCACCATCTCCCAGACCCACCAACAGACCACCAGACCTCCCATTACGAGACCACCAGACCCATCGGACCACCCCCAACCCTCCCACCAAACCCATGTCAGATCATCAACCAGGTCCACCTGCACACACCAACCGCCACCTAGACATACCACAAAACCAACATCATCCACACTTCCCAGACACAACACTCAGACTTCCCAGACCTCCTAGACCCACCACCAGACCCACCAGACCACCACCAGACCACCGCCATCCACCTACCACCTTTATCCCATCCTCCTGCCGCCCCCGGCGATCAGCACGGGCCAGCCGTCGGGCCGTCGGGCGCCATCACTGCCCCGGCCGAACCGGCTGTCAAATATTTACACATTCCGTCGGCCCAGGATGGCCGGCCGGTGCTGCTCCTGGCGCCCTAGCCGGTGGTCTGAGGCGTGTGTCATGGGCAACACGGCAGAGGTGTTACAGGGGAGAGAGGGTGTGAAAAGTGCGGTACATGGGCATTGGCGACTCAGTTGATGTGTAAATGCGGGGCTGGGAAAGCTCAACGGTGTGGTAATACGTAGAGTTGAGGACTTTGGCAGAGGTTTCGCTGTTAAGAGACAGAAAAGAAAGTAGGCGAGCATGAAATGAAGCAGAAACCTTGTAGGGATCTAGACCGCCGCACCACGTTGAAATAAAACAGGTGTAAGCAAACGCAAAGGTAGCAAAACCAACACTGAACAGCCGTGTCATGCAGACGGTCTCTACAAAACTCATCAACTATGTAACCATTCCACAGGTGTCATCGGAATGTAAACACACACCTGCACGATTTTTAAACATTTATCACCCCGGTGTGTGGCCACGTGTCTGCGTGTATGCGTTTTCGAAAGCCTCATTCACTGTAGTTCAAGGGTGATACCCTACTTCCAGCTCTTCCAACATAATCATTTCCGAGGTCCTAGCTGAGTGTAAACGTTCCTGCAGTATTCCGCTGAAGGTCGAAACGTATGCTGTGTGTAATCGTAGGTGAATCGTATTCCTCTTGAAGTGCTTAATTGTACTGCGTATAGGTACTGGGAACATTTGTGTTGAGTGTCTTGTGAGCGAAACATATGCTCTGCGCGAACTTTGTGCTTGACAATATTTTTACACCGTAAGTCTCATCCGAAAAGAAGAATGTTCTCAAGTGAGGCATGCTTCCTTGGAGAAGAGTATTCTCTGAGTGACGTTCGTCTCATCCTAAAAGTGCACATTGTACAAAGCTACCGTGCACGTCTCTGCAAGGTGAATCCCTTCGTGAAAAGAAAATATAGGTAACATTTCCACGTAATTCGTTCCCCCGGAAGTGCGACCTGTCCATGAAGTTCACTGCGTTGCTTTGTTTACTGCGTTGAATCGCACTTTTCTCCATCAACTATACCCGGCATCTCTGACTGAAGTGCGTCGCATTACATCCCTCCACAACCCTCGGGGTGGCTCCAAGAGGTACGATAAACACCTCAGGTGCCCTGACGCCCCGGGCACATGTAAACGAAACGATCAAAAAGCAAACAGCCCCGCGACAGCGCGAGAGCCGCCCGCCTCGGGCGCTTGGCACCGTGCCAAGATCCGGTCCATGGAACCGATCAGAACGGGGGAGGATGGTGCAAGGTAGGCAGATGATAGGCAAGGGGTTGTGTTGAGGGCAGGAAAAGGGCTAGTCAAACCCAGAAAAGGCGTAAGTGTAGAGTTTGGGATACATTTCATTGATGGATTTGGACGACTCAGCTGTCACTTTTGGCGTGCATATAAACAGGAATGACATCTGAGGTGCTGAAGTGTGACAAAAGCAATGAGTGTATCAAGTGTTCTTGTGTCAATAATCATATATCTGTTCAATGTTGTCAGTGTTCAGTGTGACAGTATTTCATATCAGTGCTCTTTTATCAGTAATCATACCTCTGTTGTCAATATTCAGTGTGACAGTATTCCATGACAACTATTCCTGTGACATCTCGATATCTGCGATCGTTTCCTTAACCACTTTCACACGTGGTTCGAGCGGGTCACCATGCTGGTCATCTTTATCAACTGCGTCACCCTGGGCATGTACCAGCCGTGTGAGGACACCAAATGTGTCAGCAGTCGCTGCAGGCTCCTCGAGGTAAGACCAGTGACGTCATAAGGACGTCAGCATTAGAACACTGGATGCATGCAGTTCGTCAGTATTCAAAGCAGCACAGGCATTTCAGGTTTCAGAAATGATTTCTTTCTCACGTGGCTATTGTTGCTTGCATTAGATGTCTCGCTGCTGCAAAAATCTCAAGAAGAATTTGGTGCCACAGTAAATAATGACCATTGCCAAGCCCCATGCTCAAACCTCTGTCCCAAATCTCACCCTTTTACTGAAGGTGTGATAATGCTAAGGCGGTGCATGCTCAGTACTGTTAGTTCTGCTAGTTCACATTTAGTTAATGCCTTTGCAGAAAAGCGATAGAGAAGCTCGCATGCAAAGGCGTAACCAAATCAACCAAAATAATAATACCAAATGGGTCTCGCGTACTAAAAGAGCGCCATGCTGATCTGAACTTTATATTAAAAATGAAATAATAGATCGCTAGCGTACTACAAACTGTTACGGCGGACTTAAGAGCAGTTCAATCTTGTCTTATGAGTCAAATGGTCCATGTAAGTAAATTAACTGCTTGAGGGCAAGTCATAGCTTAACCAGAGCACCCCTGCTTTAATTGCTGCTGTGGAAAGCCCCTCAAATGATATAACCGATTTGGCATATTACATTTTTGGACAGTGTATAATGTAATGCACCTGGTAACGAACCTCGTGAGGGATAGGATATTTCTTCATAGGAAGAATGTTCTTTGATCTTTATCATATCACCCATTCGCCAAATTAAACATCCTGGCCATGGCTATGACAAGCTAACATTTGTTGTATGTGCATCATTCTTCCCAAATATTTCATCCTGTAACCCTGATATCAGTTGTGATAGTTGTCTGCATTTGGTGTGCTACCTCAACAAGGAAACTTTCAGAAGAGCATTGCTGCATTGCTTCAACATTGTCTCTATAAATAGTTGTTGTCTTTCTTGATAGTTATATTTGCCTTTCTGTTATCGGCCGAGCCGGCGAACAGAATTTCACACACTGTACAGTTTTATGGATGGGAATATCTGATTGCATAAAAGTGAACGCAAACCATCAAATATACTTTTAAAGGGAACTTCAAAATGCGCAAGAAAAGTGCACTGTGGAAATGCTGCAAAGAAACACTGAAATGGTATTGGTTTGCTTCTGTAATGACATTTCCTTACCAGTGGAATGCCTCATTGCGAAGATATTGCCTCGTTTCTCTTTTAGGTGTCAACCGGCTGCGAATATGCTGACTTGGAACTAGGCAGCGCTTTTCATTAACTTTACCTTGTAAATATGGTGTTGAAATATTTTCAACGTGCTTTGCTGGTATCACCAACGATAAAATCACATAGGCACTTATGATGGCTATCAGAATGACTTTTTAAAATTGCACAAAGCAGGGAGCGTACTCTGTTTAAGTTCATTGTTCAATGCCGCAACGCGCAGATCGAAAAAAAAATTGTGATCTGCTCCGTATCCATGAATTAACTTTATTAAAATAGTTACGAATCAATCAGATCCCCAAGCGAGGACCCAAACAATGGCGATGACGATATTTATTTCTGAAGAAGATCGGTACGAAGTCGTTAGCTACACTTGTCTTGTTAGCACCAGACATGCAAGTGCGGTAGCTAGTGGATGCTATACCTGAGTGCGAGATATTTGCTGATATGCCATCTAACTGAACACGAGTTAAACATATCTGCAACTGGTCCAGACCCAATATCGAAGCGAGCTACCGCAACGAGTTCCTACACTAGCGCTGACCTGCGAGCTAGTGCAGTAAAGCTAACCTCTTGCCGCAAAACATGACAAAACTAAGTGCTGGTAAGAAATGAATTGCGGAGTGTACCTGCAACATTTGCTAGCCATGCGCCTTTGATTGGTCATCATGTGTTTGAGGTCGATGTCAACCGCCCAGTCTCTGTGGGGTCAAGCAAACTACAGCGCAGCTTGCACTGTTGGCTTAGCAACCGTGTTCGTTACCCCACGTGTCGCGACCGAAATTATCCACTTTAATTACCTACCCGAGAACCCTAAATGGGCTCCGTCATTGTCACAAGTTACCATACACGACTTTTACACCAATAACGCACACCATCGAACTAATTACGTGGAGCGGGATTCATGTAGGGACTATCTAAATCTGCAATCGATGTGAATGCAGCAGCTCATTTTACTCAAACGGTAGAATTATGGATGGGTTATTTTCGGGACACCAGCAAAATTAAAAGGTTCCTTAAAAGCGCGAAATTGGTGGTATTAATTTTAACAGGTTTTGGATAAAACAAGTGATGTTTTATTCCCATTCACTTTGTTCTCTCTCTCTCTCTCTCTCTCTCTCTCTCTCTCTCTCTCTCTCTCTCTCTCTCTCTCTCTCTCTCTCTCTCTCTCTCTCTTTCTCTACCACTCTCCCTCCATCACTATCTCCCTCCCTCTCTCTCTCCCTCTCCCACATTCACTCACCACTGACCGCTCCCACAGGTGGGCGATGACGTCATATACGCCTACTTCCTGGTCGAGATGTTGATCAAGATGGTGGCGATGGGGGTGTACGGCGAGGGCACCTACCTTGCCGAGAGCTGGAATCGGCTTGACTTCTTCATCGTAGCTGCCGGGTATGTGACTGATGATGATAAGCTTTATGTAAGGGAGGGCGAAAATAATGATGCCGTTCGTATGAAATGATGGGAGCAAAATCATGTCAATCAGTTGCTTCCAAGTCATTGTTACGACTGGAAGTGCATCGGAAGAGTATCTCTGGGGTGTCTAAAGAGTTGCGTTGATTTTTGGTGATAGAAGCTAGAGATTCATGACGTTCATTGATGTTAATGATAAGATACGTTA